GATGGAGACCAGGAAAGACAAATCCCTGCAGCAGAACCTCATGGAAGATGCAGTTGTGAGCAACTCCACAGTGCAGGAATCCAACAGGGAGGAAAATCCCTGGAGATCTCACAGGAGGAAAGGCTGCAAGCCCAGCCCAGGATGCTCTGAGGAGGAAAGACCCACTCTGGGTCAGGAAGGTGGGCAGAGCTTCAGCCAGAGCTCAGAGCTGGTGGTCCCTGAGCAGAACCATGATAGGGAGAAGCCCTACAAGTGCTTGGAATGTGGGAAGAGCTTCAGGAAGAGCAACACCTTGATCTGCCACCAGATGATCCACACCGGGGAATGGCCCTACAAGTGTGGGGAGTGTGGGAAGGGCTTCAGCTGGAGCTCCCAACTCATCATCCACCAGCGCATCCACACTGGGGAGAGACCCTATGAGTGTCACGAGTGTCAGAAGAGGTTTCACACCAGCTCAAATCTCCTTCTGCACCAGCGGATACACACAGATGAGAGGCCCTTCCGCTGCCCCGAATGCAGTAATGGCTTCAAGCACAACTCCACCCTCATCAGGCACCAGCGCATCCACACCAGGGAGAGGCCCTATGAGTGTGGGGAATGTGGGAAGAGCTTCAGCACAAGATCCCACTTGATCTGCCACCAGATCACCCACACCTGGGAAAGGCCATACACGTGTGAGCAATGTGGGAAGGGCTTTAGCCAGAGGTCCAAACTGATCATCCACCAAATGATCCACACTGTGGAGAGGCCCTTTGAGTGTCCCGAGTGTCAGAAGAAGTTTAAGACCAGCTCAAATCTCCTCTGCCATCAGCGGATTCACACAGAGGAGAGACCCTTCCGCTGCCCCGACTGCGGGAAGGGCTTCAAGTGCTACTCCTCCCTTGTCAAACACCGGTGCATCCACACTGGGGAGAGGCCCTACGAGTGTCCCCGGTGTGGGAAGAGCTTCACCCAGAGCTCTCACTTGACCATACACCAACGGACGCACTAGTAAAGGAAGCCCTGTGAGTCCCCAAACTGCAGGAAGAGCTTTCAACACTGCACCAGCCTTATCTCCCATGGAAAGACCCATGTTGGATACAGGCCTGTTGACCCACATTCCCTGTGATCCATGTTGGGAAGACACCTGACTGGTTATCTTTTTGGTTTGACCCTAATGTTCTTCAGATATGTCTTTATCAATTAAAACACCTGAAATAGGTCTGAAAAGAAATTAATTATTCAGAGATTCCCAAAGTCCAACACTTTAATAGGTATTAGAGATGGAAATTATAGTTTGGGGACATATTCTGAAGGATTTGTGGGTTCTTTGGGGATTTCAGGC